AAATAGGACCGCTCTTGTATAAAATCTGACAAGGGGGTTTTTACCCAAGCCCAAATGATGTTTAAAGGACCACCAAGCCTACCCTAGGCTACTGGAGCAGTGGGGCATCACCACCTTGAAGCAGTTGTCATGGACAAGCCCAGAGCGTCTGGGCAAGGCAGTGGATGCCCTTCCCTTCGGTTCGGGCCCGTCTGAGGGACAGCTGGCTGAACTCCGCGCCCTGAATATGGAGCTATGGAATTCCCGCACTGCCAAGGAGAGCTCTCCGCAGAAGCCCAAAAGCCCACCTGGGCCGCCTGGGCAGCTGCAAGTGCTCGAGGCTGCTGCGGGTATGAAAGGACGGACCACCTCACGCTCACCGATAGATGAGGAAGCCACCCGAATAGATTTGGAAGCTCGCAAGGTAGCTCAAGAGATGCTGGGCCCTCAGGGCCGCTTGCTGCGGGATAAGCTGCAGCAGCACTTCCAGAGGGCCAATGAGCATCAGTTTTCCGCTATGCTTTCCCACTTGCCCATTGATATCTTGACAAGGGCCAAGGAGCAAGCTCAGCGTGAGCCGTGGTACAACCTACTGACGGATGACGTGCTTCACACTGCGTTGTTACGGCAGGATTGGTCCATCCGATCGGCCTTCATGAGCGGCCACATGCCACCTACAAATCTAGTGCCCATCTACAACACTGAAGATGGTATGCTTCGCACGTCCCTCTTGGCAGAGCGAACCTTGTCCTCTTACGAGCTATCCCATCCACGTGTGCAGCCCTTGCAAGACAAGGGACCAACTACAACCGTGCGCATGCCTCCTCCAGAGGGGCGATCCTCTGTAATGCCGAACCTCCGTGGCTTCAAGCTTGTCTTTGACCTTTTCACCAAAGGAATTCTCAGGGGTGTGTTCGAGCTCCCTCCGACGCCTGCGCAAAAACTCTTTGTTGCGGGTGGAGCAGTGCTGGCTTGTGCTCAACTCTGGCAGCATCCCAAGCTTGAGCCGCTGTACAAAATTGTTGCCCATGAGGTGGCATGCTTCATGCTGCTGAAGAAGCTCCGAATTGGCCAGTCGCCTCAGGTGCTAAAAAGTATTATGGAGTTTGCTGCTGCAGACGAGGCGAGCATTGAGAAAGCACGCAAGCCGGCTGACGAGATTTGGCTACCGGCTGGATCTACTGGCAACAAGCCATCCTGGGGGTTTGCGTCTTCCGACATTGATGTTTTTATATGTTGCGAGACGGAAGAGGAGGGCAAGCAGCTGCTTCGGCAGACAGTTCACCGCATTTGCCAGAACATCACAGACAGGCGACGGGAACTTATCGAGAATCGCCGCCGAAGAGGACATCGTGAGGAATACAGGTTCAACAGCTCAGGATACTCAAGCGAGATCCGCCTGCTGCGATCGTAGTTTGTGTTTGGAATCGTTTTCTTCAATCATTTGCAGTCGCTGGCTCATTTTGGGGCTCAGCAGATCAGCGAACACTGCAAGCAGCAAGTGTTGCGGCGGCTAAGAATACGGTGACTAAAGAACCAAGTGCAGTCACTAGTCACTAGTCACTGGGTGCTGCTAAGGCGATCAGCGAATGCTCTAAGCATTTGGGGCGGCTGGCCTTTTCGCACAGTTCAAGTCATGGTGATTCTTTACAAGCGGATGGATGAAGTTCTGAATTTCTTCGATTTGGACTGTATCAGTCTGGGTTTCGATGGCAGGAACGTTCTCGCTTTGCCAAGAACACTCCGATCCCTGCAGACAGGAGCTCAGTTGCTCACACATATGGGTAGTTCCCAAAAATTAGGGGTTCCATTTGGGTACCCCTAAATATTGGGTGCCGTAGAATCATGTATAACCAAAAGGGGCCCTTAATTTTGAGGACAACCCACATGTTATGGTATGTTATACTCGTACTAGCTATTTTACTGACAGTACTAGATCATACAGTACAGTATCTTATCATATTCGTCGCAGACACACCCGCGCACGCGGCAGTTTCAATTTGCGCCAGGTGGTATGGCAAAGCAAACATAAACCACCCAGCTAAACCCGTGTCTATAAATTCTGAACGGTAAGCCAAGAACACCCTATCTAAACCCTGCCTACAACCCCAACTACCTACAGCTTTGTAGATTGTACCCGCAATTGCTGGGTCATCACTACTAAAGTGTAGTAATTACAGCCCAAACCCTAAAGTCACTTTTTTACAGTAGTTTCCATTAAATCCCAATAAAACCCCATTATATACCCCATTGTAATATACCATTAGGGGGTAGTTTAAACCAAGCCTGGTCTAGATCTCGCACGCAAGCCACCTGAACATCCCAGACCCGAGAGGTTCTAGAAAGTGACTGCCTTAGGGTTTACCTGAACCCCAAGAGTATGTAGAATAATGGAAAAGAAAATGGAAACTACTATAGTATATTGGGGTTATATAACTACCTGAAACCCCCAAAAGTAGGTAAAATAATGCGCTTTTTGAGCTGGTTTTGGAGATTTTGGGGTTATTACTTTCCCAATTCTTGGTGTTCAGGTAGGCTTTAGGGTTCAGGGTTGGGAGCATCATTTATTTAGACTAGGCCTCGAGGGTCCAAAAAAAATTTGGGGCTTTGGTTCCCAATGCCATGCTTGGAGGGTCAGGGGGACTTAGTAAGTAGGATAATAATGGGGATAACTGGGGTTACTATATGGCTTATAGGGGTTATAAGTATACTTACTAAGTCCCCCTGACCCTCCAAGTAGTCATAGTGTTAATAAAGCCCACATGTTGGGTCGTCCACAGAGACCCACTATACAGTCTGAATACCCAGGACAGGATACAACTTTGTGGAGCCGGCAAAGCTTCGCAGATGGTCTACAGGGCCAAGAATCTTGAAGTACAAGAGCAGGGGATTTGGTACTGTCTTCTTTGAGATTTGCAAGCATCATCCGCGCTGTGACCTACCAAGCACCTTGGACGAGGAGACAGCTCGACGGATCGCCGCCCTGAACGGCTCGGTGTCCGCAAGCCAGGACTTGGGATATGGCGAAGTTGAGTTGCCCTTTGTGGCACGAATGCTATTGGGAATGCATCTTGATCAGTACATGGAAATGCATGAGAGACGGAGAATGAACATCCGCCAAGACATCGACTTCCAGTCCAAGGGTCTTTGGAATCTTCCCGATAGTGATCTCGTGGCCGGCAAGTACCGCTACATCGCGGGGGATAACTCGGCCTCTGAGGCATCCATCGAGGCCCTGCTCAACGTGAGCTTGGAGGCAGATGGCCTACCGGCTGTTCGCTGGAAGAATGTCGATCTCTGGGAAAGCCGGCGGGGGAATGAGTTCTTGCCCAGGTGCTACATGTGTCGGGAGCGTATCGATCCTTCCGCGACTGTGGCGGAGCGTCCAAGGCTTTGTGCCACCTGCGAGACTCTGAGCCGGGAGAAGCTTCAACAAACAGCGGATCTTACCGGTAAGACGGCAATTGTGACGGGAGGGCGTGTGAACATCGGCTACGCCACAGCTCTGAAGCTTCTTCGCATGGGCTGTGAGGTTGCGGTGACCACCCGCTTCCCGAAGGACTGCCTGAGGCGATACAGCCAAGAAGCAGATGCAAGCTCTTGGCTCTCAAGGCTCTGGGTCTATGGAGCCGATTTCCGGAATGTTCCTACTGTGGCTGCATTGGGGAAGCATTTGGCCAGCCAATTTCCAAGACTAGATATCCTCATCAACAACGCTGCGCAGACAGTCAAGCGCCCAGCTGCGCACTACAAGGCTTTGGTGGAGGCGGCCGGCCTTGGCAACATTGTTACTTCACACCCCTGACTGCATTTAGATACCATGCCGTCAGGATTCTGATGAGCTATGCAGGTAACAACATGGGCAATCCTAAGCAGCATTTGTTTGCAGCCTTCTTCAAGACTCTTAAGCTGCCATCACTGTCGATAGCGCAAGCAACAAGATCTTCCTCATGAGGAGACGACGTTTTGTTCAAACTTGTGCATCCAGAGCTCGGTCGAAGCATGCAAGGTGATAGGACTTGTCATGTTGCGGGGATGCATACTGCAAACCAAATTGAACCAAAGGCTGGGAACTATGAAAAAGCTACCTGCGCGCATCCGAAGACGACTGCACGGATACACCGTTGGTCCATAAATGCCGCGGGCAGCACCGCCGTGAAGGAAAATCCCCGCACACTTCCGACCTGTAGGTGGTATTCGGTGCCCAGCCCTGACGTGGAACTGCCAAACCTCTCACAAATCGGCAAGGGTCTCAGAGCAACCAATCCTTGACACACGGCCAGAACATGACAAAACCTGCCCTGAGGCGGAGCAGGCACCCTTGGACACAGAACTTGAGGATCGGCTGCGGCAGCTATCAGGCAGCGCGCCGGACCTCAGATATTTGCTGGACAGCGAGGCCCCTTGCAGCCTTGCGCCCGTGCCCCAGGAAGGTCAGCTAAGCCAGCTGCCTGTCCCAGAGACGAAGGACCTTCGCGCAGATACCAGCTGGACAGCAAAGATAGGGGAGGCCAGGGTTCCCAAACATGCTTCGAATCAGGGGTTGCAGAAGTTGCACAACCTTGGAAGCGTTGAGGTCTCATGGGTGGAGACTGTGGAAGTGCAAGTGATCAACGTGACGGCACCCTTTGTGCTGCTCAGTGAGCTCAAGTCCTCGCTGATTGCTGAGAAGGCTGGAGCCGTTTAGAGTTGTTTTTCATTCTACCCTGTACTTGCGGGCGGATGTGGGAGGTTGTGAAATGCATGTTCTGCGCGAGGCCAAGCCAGAGAAGGCAGAGGCAGCGACGCAGAATCCGCTGTCCGCGCACCGGTGTTTGCAGGCACTGCAGTCGCCACGTGATCTGCTGAGCACCTCGGACAAGGAAGCTCCTAAAATGCAGCTTCGAGGGTACTTGGGACCGGCCATTCTGGAACAGAAGCGAAAGCTCATGCAAGACGTCCGCTTTGTTGTCAACGTGACTTCGCAGGAAGGATCCTTCAGGTCCCTTGGCTCCAAAGGAGCAAACCACCCTCACACCAACATGGCAAAGGCATCGTTGAACATGATGACCTGCTCTGTTGCAGACGAGTTCAGCCGCGCTGGTGTTGTGGTGGTGTCAGTTGACACCGGCTGGATCTCCAAGATGAAGCCAGAACCACTTGCAGAGGCTGAGCCGCACGTGCAGAGTGCGCCGCCCCTCTCTGCAGAAGATGGCGCAGCCCGTGTGCTCGACCCTGTGATCACGGCCATGAATGGCACGCAACCAGTCACAGGGTGCCTGCTGCGAAATTTCCAGCCTGCTGACTGGTGATCTTAACAAAGCATGATTGCTTCTCTGCTTCATGGGAACCGACCTCACTAGCTCATTTTAACTTTAGCCAGACTTAGGGTTGACCAGATTGGACAACTGCTTGGCAAAATGTGAAGCCTCAAAGATGACATGAGTCTGACTGGTTGCCATTCCTCGAGTGTGTGAATCTCCGCTGGCTTTCTACGCTGCCGTTGTCTCGTGCTGTCTGTCAATTGGGGCACGGCCAGAGACCGCAGGTCATGGCGCGGCCAGCCAAGCGGAGGCGGAAGGCCCCAAAGACCAGGAATGTGCAGGCACGAATGGGAATTTCCATCCAATTTACATCAAGAGCTACATGTACATCGGTCGTAACAATACAGGAACTGCATACGTTCAACATGCTACTTGCATGCAGACATTAGCCTAGATTCCGGGATCTACTATAGAGGAGTTGTCAGCATATGTCATGTATTCAGAACAGTTGCCTCTGTAGGTGTATTGAGCGCAAAATGTACAGGCTCTGCATGTCCAGGAGCACATCAGCTGTAGTTTGACTTTTCCTGGGCTTGTGGAAGGCCTTGGTAGAATGTGACTTAGAGTCTAAACTCCAGAAAGGTGGTTATATAGAGGACTAATGTAGGGGCTATTCAGGGGGATGCTAGGAGTTCAGGCTATGGCTCATATACCATCAACACCGCAGCCTGTGGCATGTTGACAGGCACTCAATGATCTGATGTCTTACCCTTCAGTTCCCTGGTTCTCTTGCCAATTTCAAGCCGCTAGTTCACCTGACTACAAACCTGACGGTAGCTGGTTCTCATAAGCTTGAAGTTTCGCCCTTAGGATCCAAACAGCCCATTGGAGGTAACATTTTCAGACTTTAGGTCCCGCTGTAGGTATCATTTCTATACTTGGATCCCTATATCGCCCCCTTTATCACCTCAGTTTCCATGTCATGTTACAATTTTACAATTTCTTGTCCATGCGATTCTCCATTATCGGGGTAATATCACCCTGAACGCCAAACCCTAGACCCTAAACCCATCCCCAGGGATGTGTTGAAACAGCAGGTTGATGACATTTTTGCGCAACCACAAGATGGCGAGGCTTTTGGACTTCTGCAAATCCTGCTTGCAGTCATGTGAGCTATGGTCTAAACTCCTTCAAGGGGTTATACAGGGGAATGTTTGGGGTTTAGGGTTTAGGGTCTAAACTCCATAAAGGAAGTTATATAGGGGAGTATTATAGAGTATATTAATGGGACACTTGGAGTTTAGAGTATAGCTCATGTAGGAAGCATCGCCGGGCCCGACTGCAAGTGTTTGGACAAGGATGCGTCCGAAGAGGAGGAGGGAGAAGAGGAGGACGACGGCGAGACAGACTCGGACGAGGTGGGCTGGCTTATGGGCAGCTGTTGCAGGTCTGCTCGTCTAGCTGACCACTGTTGACCCCCACGGGGTTGCTGTAGCATATCATGGGATATCGTGGGATTTTCTGAAGCAGTAGTAGGGGGCCAGAAGACACATTGAGTGTTGACTCCGCAATGACCTGCCCAGAAAACACCACCCTTGTCTGCCTGCAGGAGCCGCCCGGAAAAGCAGCCGCCGCAGCAGCAGCAGCAGTTGAAGACATCGGGAGACCAGACACGGAGACATCCAACGACGCTCCCGAGGCTTCTCTCATGCTCTCATGTGAATGCCGATGCTGCAGAAATATTCAACGTGAATGGAGGCATTCTGGCAATGCTAGCTGTACCAAAAAATCAGCCTCTTGCGTAAAACTAGTGCATGATGTATGCTAGACTGAGTGTACTGATATGTCATTTTCTAGCTACCCGGAACCGCTCTAGTGAACCGTCTGGACTCGGATCTACGGTCCTAATTTACTTATGAAGACCCAACAAATCCCGTGTGTCCCTGAACTTCTCAGAACCTCCTGGTTTGAGATCCTCATCTGACAAGAGCTCCCATGTAATCCTTGAGGCACCAGATCTCCCCACATGGTGCCCATATGAGCTGTAGTCTAAACTCCCTAGGGGGGGGTATATTGGGGATTTCAAAGGGGAGTACTATAGGGGTTAGAAGGGGTATACAGGAATTTAGACTATAGCTCGTATGGATGTCATTCTGCGACAGCGCATCCCTGCCATACCTGGATCCATAGATTGCTTCGAGCAATGGCAAGCATGTTTCCAGCCACGGCCACGTATAGCCAGGTTCCCTGAGCGTCCCCTTCATTTGAACCATAGTCTCAACTCTTTAAAGGGGGTTATATAGGGGAGTATTATAGGGGGTTATTAAGGGGTCTACTAGCAGTTTAGACTGTAGCTCAGGTGGGAAATTCCCAATCAGCTGCCTGAATCCCACTTATCTCTGCTTAAAAAGTGCGTGGCCCTTCTACTGGGTTGCTCTTAAGGAACTTAGACTAGGTTACTATTATAGGAAACCCTATTATTTACGATATACACATATTATGGTAACTTAACTTATGTTCCTTAACAGCAACCCAGTCTAAGAGCCCAGCTTTGAAAATCTATTCGGCAAACCTCACGTGAAATCCACAAGCCGTATCCCAGCCTGTGGTACTTTGAAGATTGTGTTATATGAGCCATAGGCCAAACTCCTGAAAGGGGGGTTATATAGGGGATTATATAGGGAATTACTTTAGGGGCTACTAAGGGGGATACTAGGAGTTTAGACAGTAGCTTATATGGAGATGTAAACCGCAACAATGGAGAATCAAATGGCACTAGCTGGTTTACTAGATATAGAAAAAACATCTGGGATACAGGGTTATAGAGGGTTTATACCTTGAGGCTGGGCCAGTGGCTGACATCCAAGCTGAGGACATTTTTCAGGGGGTCTTGGTCATGTTTAGGGATGATATAGGAATCCGGGAGTCTGTAGGGTCCACTGCAGGCCCTCCCCAAAAGAAACGGACCCCTAATTGTTGGAAACCCCCTCTCTATACATGCATATATCATCCAATGCTTTGGGATAACATGGGTTTTTGTTTAGGCCTACTTCCAGGGCTTGTCATAATCATGGAAGCCTTTTTGGGGTGCCTTTTTGTTGGGACGTTTCATGAAGTGTCTATAATGGTTAAGATACAACCAAGATTTCCGGCAGAGTCATGCTGCCGTTCTTTCTAGATTTTACTGTAGGATCTTTAGCGGAGTCCCCTGCATCATGGTGGAGATTCGCACTCGTGGCATCCTTTCATTTCCCCTGAGCACGAGGGAGTTGTTCGCCATTTGTGGCTTCACGGATCCCATGCTTTGGTACCTTGAAAACGAGGACCCCATGCAGGGTAGTATTTGGGATGTGACAGGGGGCTCTCTCTCGAGTCAGGTTGCAGAATTAGAAGGCTGAAGCTTGCAGAGGAACACGCAACAGTGGCCAGCGAGGCCATCAGCGTTGATGCTAGAAAGTGCATGGCTGGCATTGCCTAAGAGGGCCCGTGAACAGATAGATGTACCGATTCAGACTATAGCCGCGCCCAAAGTCTTCTCTCTGTTCGGCGGTGGGCTCACCGCTGCAACGGCTAGGACTTCTTCTTCTACTGATTCTACTGCTGCTTCTGTACATCCAACACCACTAATCACTAATCTGCTCCTGCTTGGCTGGCCCAAGCGGACAGTGCGACCACACCCAGCCTTCAGCCTTGTCTCCATGTCAATAAGTGTTGAAGTGGTTTTGCTGAGCGGCTTGAGCACAACTATCCATGCGGATCTCAGCTCAAGAGTTGAATCCGTGCGAGAGCAGGCGCAGACAGCTCTGGGCTTGAGCCGGGGCAGATTGCTCAGCGCTTCTGGCGCCGAGTTAAATGTTGGATCAGCAACCCTCGGGGAGGCAGAGGTGCGAAGTGGTGATGTGCTCACTCTTCATGCAAGACCCGTCCAGGTAGCTGCTTACCCTCCGTGCAGTAGCATGCACAATGCAAACTCGGCATTTGCCGCAATACTGGGAGATGGTGCTGCTACAGGTTGGGGTTGTAAGAAACGTGGTGGAGACAGCGGAGCTGTACAACACCTGCTGGAGAACGTGCAGTCGCTCCAGGCTTCGCATGGCGCGTTTGCTGCTGTCTTGCATGACGGATCGCTTGTGACGTGGGGCGACCCTGGATGTGGCGGTGATTGCAGTGATGTAGCACATAGGCTAAGAGACGTGCATCAGATTCAAGCTTCAGGTGGGGCTTTTGCTGCTATCCTGGGTGATGGATCCGTGGTGACATGGGGCGACCAAAGCCGCGGCGGCAATAGTTCCGCGGTTCAGCAGCAACTCTGTAACGTGCAGCGAATTCAATCAAATCGTGTGGCCTTCGCTGCCATCACGGCTAAAGGCTCAGTTGTGACCTGGGGTAGTCATGGATGTGGTGGCGACAGTAGTTCTTTTCGAAACCTGCTGCAAAGCGTGCAGCACCTTCAGTCAACAAGCAAGGCGTTCGCTGCTTTGCGTTGCGATGGATCTGTAGTAACCTGGGGTAGTTCTTACGGCGGCGGTGACAGCAGCCTGGTTCAGGCACAGTTGACGAACGTACAGCAGATCCAGGCTTCTGAGCAGGCTTTTGCTCATCCGGGCAGATGGCTATGTCGTGACGTGGGGAGCTGGGACTTATGGTGGCGACAGCGAAGAAGTCCAAAGTCAGCTGGTGAATGTGCAGCAGGTTCAAGCAACAGCAGGGGCGTTCGCAGCTCTGCGATCAGATGGGTCAGTTGTGACTTGGGGTGACCCTCATCGTGGTGGCGACAGCAGTGTTGCACGTAGCCAGCTGCAAAATGTGTGCCAACTCCAAGCAACTCTTTCAGCATTTGCTGCCATCTGTTGCGATGGATCTGTAGTAACCTGGGGTGATCCTTACCGCGGCGGTGACAGCAGATCGATTGAGACTCAGTTGACGAACGTGCAGCAGATCCAGGCTTCTCAGCAGGCTTTTGCCGCCATCCGAGCGGACGGCCATGTGGTGACATGGGGCCATCGGGGCTTTGGGGGTGACAGCAGTGGTGTTCAACATCAGCTGAGGAGAGTGCAGCATATCCAGGCTTCTACTGGTGCCTTTGCGGCCATTCTGTCAGACGCAGCCATAGTGACTTGGGGAGAAACAGAGCATTACTGCGAAAGCCCGGCGGAGTTCGACCCAGCTATAGTGCTAGCTTATCGCGCGGCTGATTGAGGGCTTTCATAGAAGCCACAACATCCGAACATCAAACATTGAAAAGCTGCTACCAAGGCAAAGGCTTTGCAGAAGTACCATCCCCAAAGCCCTGAGCCCTAAATGAAAGGGTCCAAGTGCCTCAATATCGTATGCTTACAGAGAACCACAAACTGAAAATTGTAGCAAGCTACTCGTAGCAAGGCACTGAACCTTGTATTCATCTAGTCAGAGAAGAACCTGTTTCCTTCCATAACTTACCCTAGAAGCCCAGGTACCCATATAGTAGGTTCTTGGGTTATAGATAGTATAAGTTTATATAGGGACCCAAGGACAGGAACCCAATTTATAGGTAACTGGGCATACAACCCCTAATAGACAAACCTACGTAGGCAAACCTTCGCCTGACCAGCCGTGTGACCTGCGACACATGCGAGAGATTGCAAAAGGGCTCCCATTCCATAGGATTTCAGGTTTTTAGGGTTTACAGTTTAGGCTTTGCCTTTGTTAGGGCGTAGTTTAGGGCTCAGGAATTGAGGGATTGCAAACACTGAAGAGCATGCATTTGGGCTCTGCCACATTCTACATGGGTCGGCTCTGTTTTGCAGGCTTGGAAATCAGAAAGGGCTTGCCCAGTAGCACCGGGAATGGATACTGCTACTCGGTAATCTGTAGGGGCCTTTGTGCAGATTTGGCGTGGAGGGGTTAAGAGTGCAAGGTTTCGCAGATAATGTCAGCCCAGCTGCTGATACCCTACAGCTGTCTCATAATCGGGTACTGAGTTCTATAAAAAGTTGTAAAGCTCTGTGTCCTCAACCCTGAAGCAAGGAAACCTTGACCTTGCTGGTCCGCGCAGCTTGGCCTAGTTCCAAAAGGGAAGAAGCATGCAGGACCTATGCCACTTCTGTGATTCCTTGGAGATTTAGGGATTTAGGGTTTAGGGATGCAGCACACACGCCGTCTCGCAGAATCACTACAGTAGGTCGTGACCTGCTTTAGAAGCCATGAGGTGTAATTGGCCATGCCTGCATGTCAGAGGTTTGCTGCGCAACATGGGTAGAAAGACGGTGCAGCGTGCCTAACAAGTTGAGCCATGGGGAAACGTGGCGCCAACTCTGCCGAGGCATTTCATGTTACAGGTGTTCTGGCAAAAGCACTGAGCCATTAAGTGAGACAGTCACATCAAAACATTCCTAGACCCTCCTCCTACCCTCTATTAGGGCCTAAGTACCTACTATTA